GGGCTAGGTCTAGAACCTCTGTTAAAGGGTTTCAACCGTTTCCAATATCGATTTTGAAGACTTAAGTTCACCCAGATCGAATGCAATAGTTTTCGGCGCAGTTTGACTTGGAGGAGGGGAGGGGCATGTTGAGCTTTCGTTACTTCCCTTTGTCGTGTGGAGCCATCAACCGAAGACTGCGAAGTCTTGTGAAGCCATGAAGAGATACCAGTCAAAGCTTGCAGAAATTACTTGCAAACTCTCGTGAAGAATACTTGTTAGTTCTTGCAAAGCAATCAATACGACAAGGGAAAGTAGTAGAAGTGCAAGGCTCTCACCCCCCCCCCCGAAGTCGAATCGCACCTTTTTTCCAATCAAACTATGACTGCCTGCCAATCCCTTCTCATTGATGCCAACAAATCCGAGAGGTGATATGAGTAAACAAGCTCTCTCGCCCCAGCAACTCAGTAAATAACACATCGCTCAGACACCTTATGGCACATTCCTGCTCCCATAATGACCAGGAGAAGTCAAAGTATTTATAGCTCTTATTGTTAGTCATAAACTTTTCCAAACTTTGATAGCATGCTTTCCCTCCCCCCCCCTTCCTCGGCAGTCGCATGTTGGGAATCCACAGCGAGGGGTGTTGCATTTGGCACCGGAGGGAAAGGGAGGGGGGGGGGCGTGGTTGCCTTGATGAAACTTTTCGGTTCTTGACATTTCTGTTCTTATCCTATTCCAAGGGCACTAGATTTCCCTCATCCCCCGCCCGGGCCCGGCAGTCTTCGGGAAACAGTGCGAGAATTTTTGAAAAAAAAACTGGAAAAAGATTGGTATTCAGGAGAATAGGAGTGAGGATGGGAACTGGGGTCGTAATTCGCGAAAACTTTCTGTAACAGCAGGTCGTGCCCTACTCCCCAACTCCTTGGGTTTTTGTTTTAGCCTGCACTTTCAATTCAGAAAGATTGTAGAACAGCCGACGATAAGAACGTTGATTGGCTTTGTAAAAGTCGAAAAAAGTGTGTTTATTCCCTCTTTATGGCGCTGATTTCAGTATGTCGACGAAACGAAGGAAAACAGGTGTTGGTAACGGATTAGGTTCTCCCATTAATTGTTTGCACTTTTCTTGAGTACTGAAAAGTGTAGAGAATGAGATCGGCTTCATTGCTGATTCCAACATAGATTGAAGATCTCATGTTCAGTGTTTTTGTCAGTGGGGGAGGGGGGAAGGGGGCGCTGGACGTCAAGGAATCCTTAGTGGGAAATGAGAGTCATATCTTCCCGTCAGGAGGTCATAGTAAGGGGTACGTTCTCACAGCGTCATAACATTCTCTGGCAGTGCATGTTGTGCCGTTGAGGAAACGTTTGCCAAGTTACGACTGTCCTTTGAATTTCCTCTTCTGGTATGACCTCCCCCCCCTTACTCATCCAAATCACCATCTTTTAAGCATCGCGGAGGGTTTAGAAAAAACAAAGCCAAAAGTGATTATCACCTCGATGCTACACCGCCACCGTTGGGTGGACACCGATGTGCGAGTCCTGGACGAAATACCTCATCGGCACAAGCTGTTTCGCAGTCTGGATGTACTGTCCACCATGATCCGGCCTCATTCATCACCAAAAAGTCCTTCCGAGGCTGTAAATAGTCCAAAAGTAAAGAAAAACAGTTCCATAAAGGAAATTTCCATCAAGAGAAAAAAATTGTCGAAATGTACCGGCCCTCATGGTGCTTGCTTTTAGATAAGTGCTTCAAGGTGATAATAATGCATATTGCAAGAATTCTTGAGAATATCTGCTACAAGCACAGTCCGCGACAGCCAGATGGGCGGAGACTCATCACCACCGTGCGTCCCCTCCAATCCAAACAAGAGTGGCGCGAGAATGTGGAAGGTGAAGGAATTGGATATATAAATGTAAAATCAGTGGCCCGATCAACTTTAAAGAAACCGGTGTGCAGCTGACTAAATATGTGATCATTCAACCCTGGTGATCGAGAAAGCACCAGCGAAATTTTCAGGTACTCCGGAATGCTCAAGTGGCAATAGGCCCGCAGCCGCTGATCACGGATGAGTGGACCGAACGACATGCAAGTTGTCAGCGTGTCGCTCTCCGATGAGGTTTGAAACATTTGGTTACAGATAATCACCGCTGAAGGGAACAACACTTTGCCTTATCGACAACGGCTTGGCGCAAGTCAAAATTTCATTGGCTTATCTCGATTCTGGACCCGTCAGGCTTGTTCGGTGATTAGGCCTCTGCTGATATGAGACAAGGACACAGCCGCGTCAGAAGTTTGAACAAAACTTGGCCTTGCTTCGCCCACGCGCTATTCATCTAACGACGAAACAAAAAATAGGCGGCGATGATGAACTAAGTGACAGAAAGCGCCGCTGTCACCTGATCGATGAGTGGACCGCTTGGGTCAATCCATCTCTTCTTTCATGAAGGGTCAAATTACAATAGAATTGCATATGAAGGAGCGGCAACGTTGTTAGAGTAGCGGCGCGAATCTTGGCAATCTTTATTGAATTCGTTACTTTTTTTAAGTGGACCGTTTTTCTTATTATGTTTCACGATCTCGAAAGTATCTATGACAGATTTATCCGAACGCATGGCCGTAACTCGAAGAATCGGCTCTACGAAACTCTTTCACGGTGAAGGAAAAGATATATATAATATATATATATAAGAAGGAATAAGGAAAAGTGCACAAATATAGAAATACTTTGTTCTGAGGTTGTGAATCATATATCGGTGAACAAGCCAAGACACAATAAAATCAGAAAATAATAATGGAAATGCTGGAAAAATAATAAGTATATTCAAGCTGTTTGTTGCGGACGGGCATTTCAGGGGATAGGGCGGGGTTTTCGCGGCTCCGTCGCCCAGTCTCCCACTAATTGTGGGAAATCCAGCAGCAACCAACAATTGGGTGGAAAAACGGCCTGGCGGCTGCGCTTAGCGCCAACTGCCATCGACCTGCCCCAGCAAGCGGCAGTGATGCAATGATGTGCTGAAGTTTTCAGATAAGGTTTAAACATACATTTGGAGTAAGGACGCGCACAAATACCGCAGACGACATTAGACAGTGCCGAATCGACTGGCGCCAATGGCGGCCATGTGCGGACGATGGATTCTGTAAAATACAGTGTAATAAATCTGAGTGTAAGCAGTCAGACAACGTTCATAGTTCGCGACATCGAAGATCGCGTGATCGCCGCTGATTGCGTAGATATTGATTCTGTGGCTAAGAGCCTAAGCGATCGTCGGCGACGCAAATCATGAATGCTGCTTCATCAAAGTCACTTACAGTAGCCTCAAAGATCTCGAAGATCGCATTCAGTGGTAGAGCGCGATATTCCGAAGTGAGCAGGGTACGGAAAAGCCAGCACACCATCGAGCATTCATGCATGCGTTTCCGAACTGAAAGATGGTTCTGTTCAGATACGTTCAGGACATCCCGAGTTACAGTGTGGGGGGACAGAACGTGCCCAGTCTCTAATGGCAACTGTAATGTAGTGTAATAGTGCGGCTAACTTACATAAGAATCTACTAGTTATGGTGAGCAATAGGGCCTTAACACATACATATGTCGACGTCACTTTCGGCCAATCCGCCGCAACTTTGTGATTCCTGGCACCCATTGGCGTGTCTTTCTCAAAGCGAACATGAAGAAAATGTGCGTAATAGTATATCCTCGAAATCCCTGAGTTCGGGTAGCGGGGGCATGTCAATACTGTACGGACTGGTACTAATGAAATATTCGCAGTCTGTGGACAACTGTCGATGCTTGTTCTGCGTTGGACAGAGGACACGACAGGCAAGGGAGAATGAAATAAGTGCAGTCGGAAGCGGAGAAGCTCGGGAGGCGTAGAAACCTAAGTTGAAACCATGCGGCGACGCCTACCGATCTGCAGGGATCGTCGAGTGTACTTGGGGCGAGGTAGTTGGCCACGCCGTATCGCACTGTCCACAGTTTCTATTCGAACTGCGCCCTCTCACGAACAGGAGCCGTTGGGATTATACACCATTTAATACGGCTTCGAAAACCTTGGTAGCAAGACAAGTCATTATAACAAGGCGTGAACGTGATATGGCGTCGGCCGCGTGGTAAACCTCCGCCTCAGAGCCAGTTCGAGCGTAAGGGGAATTTTATCGTGTATTGCTTCCACTAGCTCCGCGGTTTACAGTCTCACTCTGGTGAAATCCTGTGACCCCTGTGAAGCTGGAATCGATAGGTCCCAGCCGTATGTGACTACCTTCAACCGGAGAAACAGGCTGTAGAAAGTGCAATTCCCCCCGTCGCCGAACTGTGCCCCTCCCCTCCGCCCTCAAACCAAACATATAATTTTGCTAGGATGAATGTTACCCATGATAGATCTCCGAGGCACTGCTGCAACAGCAAACGATTCATCCATAGTCATGGCAGGTACGATCGGATCCGGCATACCAAGCAGAGGTGAGGATGATTCGTCATAGGAAAACGACGGAAGGGAAGTATCTGTAACAGTCAATTGATAACAATATTCCCATGAAATAGTGATTCGAGAAATAAATAGAAAAGGTGACCATAACCAACCGCAGTCCAAATCCAGGGGAGACAGACTACAGCTGAAAGATGAAGGAGAAGAAGATTCAGAGTCCATTCCGAGATGTGACAGGGGTGAATTCGCTAGCGAATCAAATCCATCCAGGGAATCTGAATGATACTATTCTGATTAGAGAGTTTATAAAGTGCACGGCTTCGCTGAGAAATTACTGCAAGGTCGAAGGCTTTTGTTACCTTTGGAGACAAAAACCTGCAGCTATTAACCTGAATAGCTCTCCGCTGAGCGGAGAAACGGGTAGAGACACCCAGACCCAGGACCTCCATCTCTTTGACTGAATGAGAACAAGGGGGGGGGGCAGGAGGCAACGAGCATCAGATTGTGCCGCCCCTTTTATTGCGGACTCATTTTCATCCCATTCTGCCAATCGTGGAAAAGACCCATGGAGACAGCCAAAAGTGAACACATTTGGGAGCTAACAACGCCCAAATGGAGGTAGCGGGTCACTCATAGGACCCTCTGGGCAAAGGTAGGGATGGAACAAATACCGCCGATGGCCTTTGCTTATGCCTATAGGAAAAGGGAATTTCCTGCAAGTAAACCGATGTCAAGCACAGTAATCCTGTTCCTTCTGAGACAAACCCAGTTTCGCATAAGGAGCCTTCTGTAAGCCCCTCCCCTTCTAGGAACTATGAGAGCTTTTGCTCATTTCAACGGGGTAAGAAATAGGCCAAAAAGATATAGCCTCCCCAAATTTGCCAATCGCAAATGTACAGTTGTTCTAAGGGGATGAATGCAAAACAGCTGCAGGGACCAAGAGGCAGCACCACATATTTTTTACCCTGAGAAGGAGGGACATGGCTGGCGAAGCCGACGCATGTGAGATTGTGTAAGGGACGGATACGCGGGGTAAATCCAACCTCCCTGAACATGGTAACCTTCTATTCTCTTCGAAAACTGCGTTCTGGGAACAGAATCGGTTGAGAGCCCACAAATGCGAAACTATGTAACGCAGATAGGCTGCTAAGGCGTGGAAATGTGCAAGAAACACATGGCGGGCCAGGATACAAGTTTCTTCAAGGGAAAGGGACCGGGGTGAGTAAGCCGCGAGACAGACAAGAGAACCGCAATTCGCCGCTCCGCCGCGCGCGGCGATGGGCGCGATGGCGGCGATGTTTTCCTAATTCGTATTAGCCTGTCGACTGAAGGCACGGATTTCACGTGGACTACGAAGCTGTGGACATTTATAGCTATTTTTAGTTCCACATTGCACTGTTGTCGCCATCTAGACCTGGAGCCATCGTCATTTGCTGGCGCGACGTCGCACGCGACCCCTATCAGCGCGGCGAATTACGATTCTCTTGCCACATACCCGGGTAAGCCACTTGTCGTTCGTGAAAAACTGGAGCGTGTGAGGTCACAACGATCACAGATTGCCATGCGGATGAGGGATTGCAGAAAAAAAACAAAGATCGACGCATTCAAAGGGACTGAGTTGAAACTAAATGTCGACCAAATTTTTTTAGGTAGACTATGCATTCAAACACATCTTTGAGCCACGACGAGAAATTCGATTGCATGGCGCCTCCCAGTAAGATTACGATACTATTTCTTTCTTATAGCGACTGGCGCAGTTTGCCGAGGGGGGCATTTTGCACTTTCGTTGCTTCACTAGTTCTGGTTTACAAGTCTCACTCTGGTGAAACCTGTGAACTCTTGTGAAGCTGGAGCAAGCTCGTCAAGCCATCATGGTAAAACCTGTCAACTCGAGAAGAGGCTGTCTAGATGGGTCGACACGTCGATGGGAAGTCGTTAAAGTGCAAAATGCCCCCCCCCCATCGCCAAACAGCGCCTAAAGACTATGTTGCATTTATTTGAAGATCAATTTTGTTTCTCAAGCACTCTCTTCACTCGAAGGTTGAGCGCACTATACGATGGTGAATGTAATGAGAGAATTCCATGCGTCGCTGCTACCCTCCACATCATATCTGCTCGGGTTTTTTTGATGGGTTTTTATGAAAACGCGCTGTATCGCTCTCACTGCACCTGTGTAATGTCATGACGGTGGCCCCATGGAAATT